TGCATGTGTTTATGGCAGTCATTTAAGGGCTTGAAGAATGGGAAATAATTTAAATGTACATAAAAAGGTCAGTAATCATGTAAATTGTTCTGTTAATTATGTAATTCATTTGGCTATGATCATGGCCAGTGATAGATAATTTGGCTATGACTAAAAATCACCAGAAACTAATAAGGCAAGATAAGCTATTTCTCAAGATGTAACACCTAATTAAAAGCAGAATGACAAAATTGTATTTACATGTCATTATCATTGTGAAGGAGAATGTTATATGTATATGAGGAAAAACTATATTATAATATAAAATGTAGAATTCATTACATTTATTTTTTAAAACTCTATTATTAATGTAACATTGCTGAACACCACTTTCTTTAAATGGGACAACCAAAATGAAAATAATCCAGGTATGTTGACGAGAGCTGAGCAACGCTCACCTCTTTTCTACATGGCATATACTTCTATTAAGTCAGCATTTTTTCTTTCTAGTTTTTAACCAATTTTTGTGCAAACATGTCATCCTGAGGCTTCACATCCTGTTAAATGAAGTCTGCTAAGCAATGCCTCCTCCTCTGTATTTGGGTGGCTGGCTTTTTTGGACTTCCCATTTGTTCCTGTACATTTTTCCTTAGTCCATATGATGCCAGGGTTCTTGTTTGCAGAGTCGAAGAATGAACTTAGCAAACACCCAAGGTAGGAGAGCCAGGGAGAGGCTTTTATTGAGAAATACAGTAAGAGGACAGAGCTCCTTGCTCATGCCAGGAGGGGACAAGAAAGCCCATGATGGTGCATTGTCTAGGGGATTTACAGTTGGTTGAGGATTTTCAGGAATGTGGGTAAAGGGCTAGGGGTGCAGACTTTGTACCACCTGCCCTGCCACCAAGATGGGCTGGGTTGTTGTCTACTTGCTAGGGCTGTTTATAGTAGAGATACAGTGAAGTCACAGGTTATGCTGAGATACCCTTATTTATTTGCAGAACACTCAAACATTCCAAGCCAAGTTGCTCCTGGCCTTTTGTGCTTTAACTGATCTCACTGAAGATGTCTATATTCCTAGTCTGGTATATTTACCCTAGAGAATTAGTGTGACCTTGACCTTGCATAATACTTAACAGAGTTTTGATAGGGACTTCTTTGCACATTGTTACATTGCTCTGACTGTAAATATCCTGCCTTGCTTTTTCTGGAGGCCCTCACACTAATCTGACTACACCCAAGGTCCCTGTCTCATATATATTCAGTCCATCATTAAAAGCCCTCAAGATTTGTTTGGATTCTGATTTATGCACCTTATTTGTCATATTGCCTCAATGCATGTTAGCTATACATTCTATCCATAATATACAGGAGACTCCATATGTTTACTCAAGGCCCTGATAAAAATGTTGCCCTGAGCAGTACTGAGTCCCAGGGAACATCCCATCTATGAACGAGCCCATTGGATGACACTCCCATTGGAATCCACTGAGGTAGCCTTGCATCCAGTACACATTTGTCATCTTTGACAGTTGTGGATGGAAAACGGAGGCTTCTGGCTAGAGGAAAGATCATGTGATTTTTCTGGGCCAGGATCAGGCTCAGTGTGAGGGGCCATGATTTCCCTCTAGCTGTTCCAGTGTCTGTTACCTGGGCCCTGCCCCCTGCTGCTACTACCTGCCCCACCAGGGCATCCACACCATCCCTCCCTCACAGCTCTCCAGGATGATCAAATCCTGGTCTCCAGAAGGATCAAATGCTTCCTCTGGTCTTTCTTACCAGAACTTTTCATTTGTTTCTTTATCTACATTCTATCTCCTGGAGTTATTTGCCTTTTAAAAGGGATCAAAACTTGAAACTAGAATGATGAAGTTCCGATGGTGGAATTTCAGACACTGGTGGTCAGATAGAGGAGGTTTGTGTGCAGTGGGAAGGCAGATGTTGGGGCCTCTCAGGCAGACCCTCTGTCCACCACCTGCCTGAAGGGGATGAGATAGATTAGATCCTACAGCACCACAGTCCTCAAACACTTAAGGCTGTTTGACAGCATTTATAACTCTTCATATCTCATTAATTTAATTTAATTTTCCTTCTTCCAACTGCCAGGCAGGTGAGGGAGACAGATACCATCATCTTAGTTGCCTGAGAGGGAAGCAGGCAAAGTGGGTCTTAATACTGAAAACAGCTACTTCTCCCTACCTCATGGGCTTTTTACCCTAGACAACTTTGCACTGCCTGAGAGAATTCCTGCTGGGGAAATGGTACATCATCACTTCTCCTGTGAACTTTACCTGCCTCAGAATGAATGTTTTATTTCCTGAAAGCTACTCCTACAAATCGCCTTATCATTTGCCAAGGATCAGGCCATCTGCCAGATCAGGCCCACACGCTCCCCAGACTGAAGACTGGGCTCATCAATTTGCGTTTCTGCTTATCATGGGCTAGTCGGCTTATCTCCTTATCAGATTGTGTGTTCTTGAACATTCTGAGCACCATATGGCCCCCGCAGAATTGCCTGCCTTGTCGCCCACCTGTGGGCACAGTTTATGTGCCTTTCAACCCTAACTTAAAAAATATTAGATCCCCAGCAATCTGAAATTTGGGCTGGTCAGATTTTATGTAATTAGCAAAAATTTAGCTCCTCTTACCAATTTTTTAAATCAAAATGTACAGTGCATGCTCAGAATTAAAAAATTACATATTATAACAGTAAAACTGAAACAACTGTGGCTACAAGCAGCATCACTGAATCTTAATACTGACTGAAAGAAAGCAAATCCCACAAGACTATACAGACCATAATCAGACTTTTTCTAAATTTTAAAAACAGTTAAAATAACATATCCCTGGGGAGTCCCCTAAACCATACCTGTGCACATCCATGCTCAGACTCCACCCCTGGGCATGGCTGGTACTTAGCCTTTCATCTCTCTGGCACTCAGATCACTAGTGGGTAGAACTGGTCTCACAGGGTTCCCTGGGGCCAGCTGAGAGTTGGGTGCTGCCCTTTCGCCACAGATCCCTCCTCATTTCCTTAGTGAGTACTGACTGAGCTGCAATTTAAGATTTCCCTAGTCTCCCTGCCCCACTCCGCACTACGGCAGTCCCACCTGCATCAGAATGAGGAACTGGTACCTTCCCACAGCTCCCTTCTCAGTGGTCTCCCTATCCTGGCACTGGCTTTGGCTTTCTGACACTTCTCTCTGTGTCTCCCGGTGCCATGGACCTGTTAGGACATCCCACTAATTTCTCTGGGATTGCCTGGTGCTGATTGTGTCCTGTATCTTGACCAAGGATTGCTGCTCCTTCTACATTGTGCCATACGTGCCTGATTGTACTTCAGGTGAACCTTGAGCAACAAGGGCCACCCCACTCAGTGAGTCTTTGGACAAATCTGGACCCTTCATCCTGGCAGCCCACAATCTTGCTGCTGGATACCTTTTGCAGGCAAATTCCCAGATCTATCCACTCTGGGCTCTTCTTGCTCATTTTCAGTCTCAGTTGGTCTGTTTCCACCTCTCAGTACTTAACATTCTTCAGTAATAACTATTGCCACACACATCATTTGCAAAGGGCCATATGCTCCTGATTCTCTACTGGATGCTCTACATCACTTCACTGGAGTCAGTGCCCTTCTCCACTACGTGATTCATTTTGCAGGATCTTATTTTCCCCCTCAGATCTAGCAGTGGTCTGCATTTCAAAGACAAAAGTCCAGGAGGATTTTTCATTTTTAGGATTATGCCTTAAAATTGTCTCTTAATCATTACTACTTTCTCCCAAATCAGCATTTGGTTCTTTTGAAGCTTTGAAATGTTTCTGGTCAACAGAGGATAACCATCTGCTTCTAGTCTTCCCCAAGGAGAAGCCAACAGGAAACAGCTTTTGCTTATAACGTAAATTATGGGGATTAGAGGAAACAGCATTTCCTGACAGTGAGGGATGTAAAAAATTGCACAAGGAAACTTACGTATGTTGGAGAGTCTCTGATCAGGATATTAAAGGTCTAGATGAGGCATAGCCTCAGGATTTATTTTATCTCGAATTAAATTCACTTCATGTTTCTTCCAGAAGCCCATATAATAAAACGAGAATTCTCACCGCCACCTTCTGTGCCTTCAACTTTGTTTTGTTGATATCACCTCTTCCGTTTATTTGTTTTCCCACTGCCAGAATCTCATGAATCTGAACAATTAAGCCTGACTTTTCTTTGGGGAAATTTTTTCTAGGTTTTGCTTCCCTTCTTTAAGGTGTGTGTGTGTGCGCGCGCGCATGCACCAATCTAATCCTTTATTTCTCCAGGGAATAATATACGTACACGTCATCTCTCCCTTTAAGTCAAGTGTTGCATGAACTTGAAAACAAACCTTCTAAAGACAATCTGCTCCATGAATAGACAGTTTTATAGGTATGTTCAGGAAATGCCATGAGCTCCAAGTCCTCAGAGAAGCCTCTGTCTAGCTGGGCTGCAGTGAGATCTGTTCTTGCAGAGTCTCTTCCCATAAGGGTGTCAGTCATGGGAACCTGGAACCCAAGAGGCTTCCAGACCTTGTCCCTGACAAGAAGGCTGGATTCCTCCTGGTACCTGGTTCTGTGATCCAGAACCACAGCTGGGGGAGTGGGGGGTGGGGGGAGGCAGGTGGGGAAGGGAAGTCCAATTAAATCTGTGTATCTTTGTTAAATATGGAGGCTTTGTTAAATAAATGTATTTTCTCCCAAAAGAATGCAAATTATTTTGGTTTCCATAAAAGGCAAAAACTACTAGCTGTATTGGTAGATTTTAATTTTTAGTTTGGGGACTGAAGGAAACAAAAGGGGGGGAAAAGGAATACACAATATCCTTATGAGAAATTTGTTTCTAAAACCCTCCCTAAGATTATAAACGAGTTTAAGGGGATATATATTCCCATTCTTAAACTTCAAACTCCCAAATCTCCCAATGGGGATTACACTGCTGCTAAAACATCCCAGGGAAGAGTCCAAGGCGGCCGTTTGCGGTTAGGAGAGAGTCCAGAGTTGACAGAGACTCTCCGCCTCTCTTGCGCCTGGGTCGCCCTCTTCCCTTGGAGGGGATGGTGGTATGAGAGGCTTCTGCCTCTTCCGGGACCGCCTTTGAGCTTCAGAGCCTCACCTGACTTTCCCAGAGAGGGAGACAACAGACTCCTTCCGCCATCCGCAGAGGGCCAGGGGCCGGAGCTGGGGAGGGGCTGAGGACGGAATCGCTGCCCAGACCCGAAGGGAGCGAGAGGAGGCTCTCCGCCAGACAGGCGCGCCGCGGAGAGCTCAAACTTTGGTGGGGTAAGGATCGGAAAGGCTCTTGAGCTGGGAGTCTTTGGGGGCTGGGAGGTGTACTGGGGCTCAGACTGCAGCCGAGGTGGATTCAGAAATAAACGCCCCGAGTCGGGTGGAGGAGCCCGGGGCAGGCAGGCGCTGTCCGCAGCCCCCGGTGCTGAAACGAGACGCGTCTTGTGGGGAAAGGGGTAAAAGCAGGGCCAGCTCCGGCTTATACTCCCACCCCCGGCACACACACAACCCTCCAGCCGGGATCAAAGGACAAAAGGCCGTCCCTGTACCCCCAAGTGTATCGCACGCCCTTTTACTCAACGTCCCACAACCGCGCTGGCCGAGCCGGGCCGAGTCGTCAGGGTAGGAGGTGGAAGATGTGGGCTGGCTCCCGCTGGGGACAGGTAGGGGGGTGAAGCCGCGACACACCCCAGGATACCTCTCCAAGACACTCTGTACCCGGGGTTCTGGAAGAACCTCCCCAGCTGCCTACCTCCCCCGGCTCCAGGTCGGGGGCCGGCGCAGAGTCTCTCCGAGTCCGCGCGGCGCGCTGGGAAGCGGTACCCGCTTCTTGGACGGAGCGGGAGCCAGCGGGCCCGAGTCGAGGGACTGCCTCCGCCAGACCCTACTCAGCCTGCGGAGCCAAAGAGACAGGTGGGCTGAGGAGCAAGCCGAGAGTTAACATTGTTTGCGCGGAGTGAGGAGTCACTCTTTCTTTTTGCTTTTTTAATGATAAGATCATCATCTGCGATCTTGGCTTTTCCGGCCTCACGGCTTAGTGCCCAGGTATGGAGGAGGAGCAGCAGGCCCTCTGATCCTTTGCAGTCCCCTAATCGGATAATCACACGGGCTCTCTGCCCTCGTCCTCCGGCTTTTCTCCCCAGTTCAGCCGCCACCCCGACCCCCGACTACCCGGGGGCCTGGGCCATCCTGGCCAGGGCTGGGGCCGGGTGACTGGGGGGATGGAGGAGTGTTTCATGTTTCTCCCTCGTAATTCCTCGACTCACAGCTGCCCCACTTTATGCTGCTGTTAAGACTTTAAACTTTGCCGATCTGAAGTGAGTTATGTGCAACTAGACGTGGCATGTGGCCGAGGATGAAGAGGCCACAGCAGAGAGGGTCGGGGGTCCGCGGCCGCGCCGCCTTGGTTACCCGGTAGCACCGACGAGCAATTAGCTTGCTCAGTACTCCCCGCGCGCCGCTCTGCAGCTGCAGTTTCTCACCTGGAAACCAGGCAGCCAGACGGTGCCCGCTGCTCACCAAATTTTCTATAGGCGAGGCTGGGGTGGGCGCTGCCCTGGTTCCCCAAGCCCTTGGGCAACGCCCCCCGGCCACCCCACCCCCCCGCGTTCCAGCCCTCTGGTCCCGGAGTGGACGGCCCAGCCCCCTAACTTTATGGACCTGCCGCCAACCCTCCACCCCCACTCTACACACACACGCGCACACACACACACACACACACACACACACATGCACACACACACTTTCATTCATAAAAACGAGCAACAGTATCGTCGTCTGGGCATGAACTCGCATACCTCTAAGTAAAAAAATTATTTGGGGGTGGGGGTGGAAAGTTTGGCCAGCAGAGGAGAGGTGACCGCTGTCAACGTCACTCCCGGTACAGGGTCTTGCACGCCAAAGTCCCGGATTCTTGAAAATTCTGCTGGATCAGGGAACCCAGCTGGGATTGCCCTGAGTTGGTGGGCGCTCCTTCGTCGGGGGTGGGGGCGGGGAAGATACGGACTCCCCTCACTTCACACGAATGCCCGCGCACGCACGTGTCCTCTTCAGCCTCTGTTCAGCCATACATGGGATCCTTGTGAGGATGCCAGGACAGTATGAGGAGAGAGTGACAGGACGAGGAGCTGCTCTCTGCGTGACTGACTGGTCAGCACAAGATCTCAGTCCCGTCAGCTGGGACTTTGGCCAGAACTGCGTGTGCCCCTTAACTTTAATGCGCCGCTTTTTGTGACTTTTCTGTACTCATTCACTGCCTGCCAGCGGTTGCTGCGTCTGGTTAATAATGGGGTTGCCACGGCGACCAATCTCCCGTCGCCATGGTATCCAGGAGGTAAACAGTTGGAAGCTACAGAGGCCCTTTGCTGGCTCCCAGATCGTGCTTGGGCTGCGGGTTTCCTGCAGGAGTGGGGAGGGATGACACTGACCAGGCTCTGTGAACCCCCTAGCAGTCTGCTCACCTGAAACCCTCTCTAATCCCTGCTAAATACTTGGGCCTGCAGTTGAGATGGGTCAAGCTTTTTCCCTCCATTCCCAATTGCATACACTGAGGCCAGGGGGTGAAGGGTTTTCCTTCTGACCTAATTCCTATCGGCTTCACACTGACTATTACTGAGTACAAAGCAGCACAGTGCTATGTCTGGTGGGAGACAGAATTAATCAAACAAACACAGTCCCTGCCCTCTGGACATCACAGTGCAGTGCAGGAGGCAAGCTCTTACACCCTCTGCCAGCTGGCCTCTGCTCTGGACTGAAATAAAGATGATACCAGCGCCCTGAGAGTAGAGAGGGGGAAGTAACTGATTCCCAGGGGAGGTCACATTGCTGTTGAAACTTGAAAAATGAAAGAAATTTCAGCTGACAAGCCTGAAGGGAAACATCTTTCCGGGCAGAGGAAATAGCAGAAGCAAAGATGTGTGGATTAGGAGAGGAGAGGCCCTGCTCTGGTAATGTATAGCCTTGGAACCTCTCAGTGGTTTAGCCCATCATTATGCAACATGTGAGGTTAACAGGCCCAGGAGGACCCTGTGTCATGGGAGGAGTCCACTGGCCAGAGCCTGTCACTCAGCCCTCCCCTGGCCTGGAGGGGAGGCTGAGAGATACAGGAAGCACAGGGTGAACTTTGGTGAGAACTCTGTGCCAATAGGTGGAATGAGAAACTTCATGACACACTTAAGGACAGGGTGAGCAGTTTGCTTTAAGTGGAGCATCCTTTTTAGGCTGATATGATCTAGGTTATGAAAAGTCTTGAATGTCAGGCTAAGACCACATGCTGGAGAAAATAGGCAACTTCTGAACATTTCTGAGTGGCATGATTTAAGCTACCTTTTAGAAAGGCCCTGGTGTTGGTTTAAAATATTCATCCATTCATTCCACACTCACTGAGTACCTCCTGAGTGTTAAGCCTTGGATGGAATACAGAGGAGAGACAAATATGGGTGATAAGCAAAAGGAAGTATTTCAACAACTCCAGGGAGGGAGACAGGTGTCTGGACAAAAGCAGGAGCAGAACTCTAGGCCAGGCACTGCCACTGATGTGGTTACTGCTACACCCCCTGCCTGGCAGGGCCCCTGGCACGCATTGCTCACTCTCTTCTGAACTAGTGAGTGAAGGCGCAGAAGGTGACAAATCAGATGCGCAGTTGGAGGTGTAACTGAGAGGACTTGGTGGCACTAGATCTAGGAAGTGAGGGAGAGTGAGCAGTGAAAGCTCACAGCAAGTCCTAGCGAGGTGACAAGCTGGCTCTGGTGCCAGTCACAGCTTTAGCTGGGACCGGACTCTGGGGAGGATAAGCATATTTGAGAGCAGTCAGGGTGGTGCCATTCCAGACAGTTTTGTGCCAATGAAAACTCTTCCTTGGATGTGCAGGGTCCTCACACAGCCAGCACCCTGGTCCTCATTAACCCCCAGCGCACGGCTTGTCCTCCTTTGCATGACTTCACACTGTCCATCTTGTATTATGATAGTGCAGCATAGGGGTTAAATTCAGCAGGCTTTCATTCCCCAGTTCTGCCACTGGGTAACTGAAGAACTTATTGAACCATCTCAGTTTCTTCATGTGTAAGTTGGAAGTACGTTATAGTAATACCTGCCTCCTTGGGGTTTTGGGAGGAGTAATGAAGGAAGTAAGGTGAATTCTTGAACACGATGCCTGCCATGGCAAGTGCTCAGTGAGATGTGACCCACTTGTTATTTCCTGTGATGATGTATTACATTTATAATCACATTGCAAAAGTTAATTAAGAAAAAGACACACCTTACTTCATGTGCCTGCAGCAAGGCTTGGTGAAACAGGTCCTTGGGGAAGGAGGGGAGCTCCCTTGCCCGGCTTTGTTGGCCATGTGTGTGTGTGTGTGTGTGTGTGTGTGTGTGTGTGTGTGTGTGTGTGTGTGTGTGTGTGTGTGTGTTGAGGGCAGGGAACAGATGGAATTCTGGGGAAAGCATCACAGGGCTGGCTACAGAAATCTGGGCTCTCCAGTTTCTAGCAACATATGATAAGCAGTTTCTTCCTCTTGGAATATCAACCTGAGCAGCTGAATCTTATTACAAAGCAGTCATTTAGAAACAGCACTCTTAAAACTGAGGAAACCAATGTCACATTAACTGTGAGTCATGTCTGCAGACCAAGACACTTTCTAGGCATGAGCCAGGCGTCTGTGTAGTGGCTGAGTAATGTAACTGATAAGCTTGCTACAATTTCAGTGCTTTCTCTTTCACCCCAAATCTCTTCCTGTTTTTGGAACAATGTTCGTTTCAATTCAGGCAAGATTTGAAAATCTGCAGCTGGCAAATGGAAGCTTCTCTGCCTGTGTTACAAAAATATAGAGAGCTCAGAAGAGGGAGAGCTCCACCTCACAGCAATTCCGAGGTTTCCTTTAGAAGCAAGAGTCAATGCTCCTAACTCAGACGCGTTTTCTCCATCTTGGTGTGGGGACACTCCACAGAAAAGGGAGAATGGGATTCTGACCTCCATTTCCCCTCATGACCTTGAATCTGAGCGTAACTGGACACTCTTATGGTCTACGACTTTGAGCTACCCTTTTGGACCTTTCTTGGGAAGAAGGAGAAAACTTTGATACTGGCCCCAGAAATAGGCCTTGTTTCTTCAGAGACAGGGATGGGTTTGCAGGCTCTACAACTAGACCACTGTCTATGTCCTGGCAGTGTGAAATGTGTACCTTGGTTCAGTCATCTATAAAATAAGGATGAAAAGAGTTGATACATTTAAAAAGCTATAGAGCAGTGCCTGGACTAGTATAAGCCCTCAAAAATG